ATATATATATATATGTATGTATGTGGCATTTTTAAGTACATAAAAAAATTATAGAGATACTGTGGGTTTTCATAAGTTTACTTAACCCTAGAAGTACTGATGGAACCACATTGGCTTTTTAAACATTTTTCTAAACTGTCTACGCACTAAATTGCTTGTAGGTGTGTGATTTTTTTAGGTTATGGAGTTCTTGACAGCCTACAAGTGACAAATCAGAATTTGAACAAAATTCCATCAATATTGCAATTTATCCCTCTAATAACTGTTGATATAAAATGAATGATTCATTCAATTTCATTGGCCAGTTCTTTACACTATTCTAACAAAGAAAAATGGAAAATTAATAAATATTATGCTGTGTGTGTAGACCTCCACTTGTAGTGAATGATATAAGAACAAACCAATATGTAAGTTGTACATATTACAAACTTACGATTTTCTGGAAAGTATAAACTGTATATATTAACAGTTAAGATTTAGAATGTTGTAATTTCTTAATCAGACACATTTGTTGGATCTTATGTTTTGATTGTACATTTTACATTGTATAAAACAGTGGTTTCCAACCTTGAGGGTGTGCCTGTCCCTCTTGGGGATGCACCAAACATCACAAAGGGATCACTAGGCTTGGCTCCTGGTGAGGTTAGACAATTCCAGTCAGTGCACTTTTCTGAACCAAACCTGTTTGTATGTATATATACAAAATACAGGGGGGACAACACTTTGTATGATGTGAATAAGGGGGACTTAAGGCTAAAATGGTTGGAAACCATAGTATAAAAGAATGAATGCTCAAATATATTGATTAAAAATAATTATGGATAATGTTATTTCAGTAGTGTATACTTTTCAATGACTTTTGTATAAAAATGTATATATATATATAATACAATGCGAAAATTGGGAAAAATGACAAATTTTTTTGGACACATTTGCATTGTACTTAAGAAAGCATTTAATTATAATGTATGATCTTAAAATTTATAATATTTGGAATTATTTGTATTTATAGAGAGCTAAATGTTAAGTGATCTTTTTTACCTTCAATTTTTAGTTGTAAAAAAGAAATTCAGTTTCACTTTCTTTACCCTTTTATTGTAACATAGCGATGACTTGGATGTGGAGACTCATTCAAGAGAAAGTTCTGCTCGATATGGACGGAGAGCAGGAAGGACACCTACTCCTACCTCAGGTATGTTGTAAGTTGTAATTTGTGTGGATGTTGAGCAGAATTAGGTTCAGTTTCTGATTGATGCATTGCATATGTGTATATATATTATTACTATTCACAAATATGTTCTTAAATTCCAGTTATTTTTCTTAAAACATAGAACAGTAAATATAGCAATATAGGAAACAATAATTTTTTCTACTTACAAACTTTGTACTTGATTGCCCACTTTACATAATTTGCTGAACCTTGTCAAATTTTGCACATGGAGCATGTAAAACAAAATAAAAATTTTTTAGGTTTTATATACGCGTTTTGAAATAACCAAATATAAATTACTCTGTCAATATCACAGAATTCCACTGTAATTTATCACACTTACTAATTAAACTGTATTTGGGTAAAACAAAAATATTGATACCATACTAATTGGCATACATATGTAAAATAGTAGATCAATAAAATTTTGAATATAAGTCTACAAACATGATGACATGTCCTTTGACCCCGGACCATAGGAAGACCTGTAGTGAAAGGATTAAAAGGACCAGCTGTAAATACATTAAAGAAACTTCCAAACTAGAATCATAACAACTATTGGGCATTATTGGCCACATTACGAAACATATTTCGAGAGTTCATCTAAAGGAACTTTCTAAAGCAAAGTTTAGGAGCAGATTAAAGAAGAAGGATGAAACTTGTTGAAGATGTTGAAAGATTTCCCCAATTACCCTACCCAGATGCTTCACATGGAATAATGGGAAGCTGTCTATTTGGCAGTGGAACTGGAATCAATTAAGGGTGCAGCTAACTATTAATGACACCATCCAGCAATAACAGGATTGTCAAGTAAACTCCCTTGGATGGAAATCTAGAAGAATTTAAAAGACTAATTTGATAGCTATTTCTCCAGAATGAAAGAAGTAAACCACAAGATAGTGGGTATGTTAATTGCATATTTCTAGGAACTGCACACGGAGTTTTTCAGGAAATAACTGCTTGAAAGGATGACAGCGAAAGAAAATCGCTATAATTGTGGAAAACAGAAACGGTACAGCTAGTTGTGATTAATCTACTGATAATAATAAACCAAGAAGATATATTAAGAACATGTTCCAGGACCAAAGCAGATCAAGGGAAAGACAGAGAGATAACCAAACATATCAGAAACTGGGAATTGGTTGGACTTGAGGAAGACGTTAAACTGAAAATACTCTATCTGCTCTAGTTAAAATAAGGAGATCATTATTTAAAGAAACCAGTCCATGAGTCAGTAGATTCATTGATGGGAAGCCTTGTCATAAGTTGATTGATATTGTTTCTGTAGTTTCTTTTGTTTGACCTGATCTGTGAGTGAAACATTACTTGTGCAAAAAATTGATAATCTGTATTCACATACTAGGACTAAATCTAAATTAACAGCTCATTTTTATTTATTTCTAATAAATGTTTTGCAAAAAATAACATAATTTTTTTATCTGTCTAATTGTCTGAAGGCTCCAAAATTACTGTGGGCGAGGAATCAAAGAGTGATAGAAGTATGTTTAGATCAGTGGAACATAGCAGACAAAGGAACAGCACCGACCGAGTCTTAGAAGAGTGTTGGACATCTTTAAACAACTTTGCACAGTTGCATAAAGGCCGTCTTACAACTGCAACTGCAGCTGAAAGTAATTATCTCACAGATAATATCCATCATTTTAAATAGTTTGCAATTTGTATATTTCACTGGTCTTAATTTTTGCTGAAGTGAAATACAGTCTCTCGGGTTTATAAAATGTAAAAGAGCAACATTTCACTTTCCTGAGAGATTTTGTTTGTGAGAGTGATTGCTGTTGTCAATATTTCTATTAAAATATGAATTTTTATCAATAAAATTATATTAACTTAATGTAATTTTAAAAATTGAGACAAGTTGATAACTGTTGAATGAAGACTCATTTAATTTAATAAAATGCATACATGAATAGAAAGTAGTAGTTATTTTCATTCACTTAATATTAATTTGTTTATTTCTACATCAATAACAGAGAGATCTGGAATGTATTGAACATAATGTGAAGACACAAAATGTGCAAACCACTTGAATTTTAGCTTCTGGTCCCAAGGAATGTTGTCATAATTTACTGTTTAATGCTAGTAGCATAATTATAACATATGAGTAGTACTGTGATTATATTTATTTATTAGGGGTAAATATTCACTGTACAATATGCTATATGACTTATAGAAATGTAATGGGATGTTTGTGTTAAAATTGTTTTGAGACAAAAAATGTGTACAAATTGTGAGGAATTGTAGATATGATTCTTTGTTTGATGCAATTTGTGCAGAGCTACTCGAGGATTATCTGTGTTAGCTGACTCTAGGTTTGAAGTGATAAACTAGGGGATGTGCAGCTGGTCAACACCACCCACTGCCAACTCTTGAGTTACTTTTTACCAATGAATAGTAGGATTGACCATCACATTATAAGCCTCCGTGGTGGTGGAAAGGGCAAACATGTTTGATTATGAGATTTAATATTGTGACCCATAGACTGCAATTTGAGTGCCCTAACCATCAGGCCATGCCAACCCCCAACAGATGTGATAATTCATGTCCTGTCTTTCTACAGCAATTTGTACAGATTAAAGCACAAAAGTAGGTCTACGAACACCAAACATTTCAACACTGTGGGGCATGCAAGTACTCGTATCCCTCCAAATATGACAGATTGATGCTTCTTATTTGTTGGTGTGATAAAATTATATTTAGAATTCAATGTTTTCAGCAAAATCTGAACCAAATAACATTCTACGAAAATGTTTTATAACATCTCCTGTTTGTGGCTAATAAGTCTATCGTTTGTTGGTAAAGAAAGTACAAACATAATTAACACTGTCTTAACACAAGTACATATGTTTGGTAGGTGATTTATCATTCCAAATAAGACACTTCCCCAGTGGCTTAGCAGTAAGCCACTGGACTTATGATGCTAAAGATCAGCCTTTGATAACACAAGTAGCTGATTGTGTAGCTCTGTGCTTAACAACAAAACAATGAGACTTAAAGAACAATTGGTATATGTTATATATATATATATATATATATATATATAATACTATTAATGCTATTTATTTCCTACTTCCGTTGGTTAGTCTATCTATAGTCATATTTCTTTATTAGTTTAATAGTGCTGATCTAAATCGCCTATTGACAATAAATGTGATCAATAATTATTGAGCTATTTATATATATATATATATATATATGTATGTATGTGTGTGTGTATAGTTATATTTATTAAAGGTACAGTGAATTGAAGTTAAAATAAACTAGTATAATTTTGGGTAGCATGTATACTAGAATATATATATATAAATATATTTGATCTTATAGTTGCTAAGATGATATTATGAAAGGTGAATTATCATGATGTAAGTCTAGCAGATGACAAATCTTTTTAGTAAGTAGGGTTAATTCATTATTTGGGTACTGTGAACAGACAGAAGTAGGTATCTATGGTAAGGTTGTCAGTATAGGCATTTGGCCTGAACTTCCTTTGTCACTAGAAATGTATCACAACATAGAAAGCAGTAAACTTCTAAGAAGAGTTTAAAAGTTGTACGTTTTTATGTGACTTGAAAAGTAGTATATCACACTGTTAATCTTTTTGTTGTCAGTTTTTTTGTTAAAGAACAATAACAAAGGCAAATGTAGTCATATTCAAAGTAGTTTAGAGAAAATAGTCAGATATTGTCAATATTAAACTTTGCTGTCACAGACTAAAGGAAAATCAGCAAGATTTCTAAAAATTGCAATGAATATATCTTTTCTACAGAATACGAACTGCCAGTTGGACTAGGTCACCTCTTTTAATAATTAGTTGTTGCTAAGTTGCAGACATTTTTAAACAATATTCAAATTAAAAAATTACAGGAACACTGCATTAGAATAAGTAATACATCCAATTTTAACCTAGAGACAAGTTTAGACAAATAAAGTTATCATATGATTTTTTTTAAATTAGAGGACATATTAGACCTCTATATGCAGGAGGAAAGACTTAAACGACAACAAGTGTCAAGTACTACAAGTGATGATAAGGAGATGTTGCAGCTGGTTGAAAGTGATGGCACTGAAGTTACTGAGTAAGTACTTGTATTCTGGATCATGCATGACCATTGTTAATGATATGTATTGATTTTGATTTTCTTAAAGTGGTAATAACATGATATACAGATTAGCATGACATGAAATACAGAATTGCCACAAAATATCTATCATTAATCAGCTTTGAATGGGAATGTTATTGTAGCAGCTTTAATTATTAATCTGTGCATATGTTGAGGATTAACCCTATCGCAATGGGCATCCTTTCCTGCACATGTCACAAGGTTTTAGTGGCTTACATTAAAAATGTTGTTAATCTACTTTTTGTTTTTATCTACTTTTTGTTTATGTTATACCAATTAGTAGAGCATAAAATCTTAGCTAATAATCCATATGTTAACAATATATAAATTTTAAGTTCTTAATTTTATATGGCAATATTTACAAAAATCCTAAATTTACCCTAGTGTGACATGTGACACATTTTCTCTATGCATCTTCTCTATTTTATCCACTGCCCCTCCAGTATGTACAAAAATTCAACATAAATTACTCACTATAAAGTTGTCATTGCTCAGGCAAACCATAATTTTTATAGTCTTCAATTTTGTTTGGTTACAGAACTATCAAATAGAAAATCAGACTCCTCTTACCACACCCACCTGTCACTTCCTCTCTTTCAGGATTTGTTAATAGTTCTCTCTCACATTTAATTCTATATTATCTATAACCAATAGAAAGCCAAGGTTTTCATCTATCAAATGACATATTGTATAACATTGTTTTCTGAATGGAGAATTGTCAGTTTCACTAATAGTACAAGCTTCATTCCCACAGGATATATAACTACTAGCTTGGATGAATTTGTAACTGCTCTTGTTTTATTGTTAGAAACCCAGAAAAATTGTGATAGTTCTGGAAAATTGTCTGCTTTTTGCATGTTATTATTCTGTTATTTCTTCTTTTTCATGTTTATTATTTATTTATTATTATAAAAGTAACTAAAATGTAAAAATAGGGATCTCTTTAGCTTAGTTAAGGTTAAACTACATAAAATAAATAATAATATAATAAAAATGTTTCATGAGGAATGCATGTGAGCAGCTCATAAGTAACGTAGTTCAATAGCATATGAGTTTAAAACTACCTAGGATAAATGAATGTAGTTTCATGTTACAATTTTAAGTTATTCTAGAAAGAAAGAAAAAGATAATTTAGACTTATTTCAATTTTTTTTTTGGTGGTTACAAGGTCGGTCAAATTGACTAATGTTGCAAAGAGAAAGAGGGTAGAGAAAATAACAGATAAGATATAAAGTTTTCCTGAAAGCAAACAATCGAAATGTTTATAGGAGGTTTTAGAGAATACAAAAATCAAATCTGAGATTTTTGAAATGAAGAAAAGTATCTTTAATCTTAACATGAAAATTATGTAATCAAAACAAATACTCGATGTATTCACACTCAAATCGTTAGTAAAAATACTTCATTTAAAAAAACGATTTTTTGTGTAAAAGATATTTGTAATGTGTACTAAAGGTCTGCCAAATTTTATGAAGATACACACACACACTGTATTAAAAGTTATAGTATTAAAACTATATACAAATAAATATGGTCCCGTGGTTGGTCCCTGAGACTGAGCCTGTATTGAGAGGCCCCCCAGTGGCACAGCGGTATGTCTGCGGACTTACAACGCTAGAAACCGGGTTTCGATACCCGTGGTGGGCAAAGCACAGATAGCCCTTGTGTAGCTTTGTGCATAATTAAAAACAAACAAACTGTATTGAGAGAGTTAAAAAAAAAGATATTTAATGGGACATCAGTTTTTAATTACCTGTTGTTAAAGTAGACAAATGTAAACAAGAATTTATAAAGTGTGATATATTGTATACAAAACCATTTAGTGGATGGTCTTTGATTATGTTCCAAACCATTTCTTGTCAGGCTTGTGATTTTTTTTTGTTTAGAACCTCTTTTATAAAAAAATATTTCAGTTTGTATATCTAGAAATAGCATATAGGCAGTAACTTTTCTATAATTTTAATTACTTATGTGGTTATAATAACTTAAAACTATAGGTTATGTATTAACTTTCATATGTAGTTTCCATGGCTCCAAGGAAAGTATGGGAATTTTGCTCTCCTGGGCTTGAAAAGGCCCTTAAACTTCATTTTAGTGATTTAAAACTGGCAAAAATAAAAAACTATGGCAACTACAAATGAATAATGGTTGAATAAAAGTGATTTTTAAAACGTTTATTGGCATATCAGTTATCCTCATTGAATCTTTATTAGCTGTTGCTAGTGGTAGGGCAAATAGGATTTTAGGTTGTATATAATTTCATTATAAAGGTCACTGGTTAGGCCACATTTGGAATATTGTGTTCAGTCTTGGGCTCTTTACCTTAGGAAAGACATTAAATTGTTGGAAAGGATTCAGAAAATAGTTACAAGAATGGTGCCTGGATGGAGGGGTTGTCATATAAGGAAAGGTTCAAATCTCTCAAATTGTTTCCTCTTGAAAAAAGAAGAGTTGGGGGGGAGGGATCTGATTGAAGTGTTTAAGATTATAAAGGGAATTGATAGTGTTGATGCATAAATTTTTTTCATATTTAACAGTGAGAATAGTAGGACTAGGAGACACAAATATAAATTTTGGCAAGGTAGGAGTCGTCTTCAACTAAGACAGTTTCATTTTTCCAACAGGGCCTTTGGAATGGGTTGCCTTTGGAAGTTGTAGAGGCAGTAACTTTAAGTGAGTTTAAGAAAAAGCTTGATAAGTATATGAATGATAAGGGATAGCTTTAAGATTTGTTTTTTAATTATTTTGGTTTAGTTTAGAGGGTGGAACAGCCGAGATGGACCGATAGGTCCCATGTTGTCCCAGAACTTTATGTTATGTTATATTAATTGGTAAACATAAAGAAAATTAGCTTATTTTGTTAAAAAATAAACATTCTTTTTAATACCTAAATTCAAACAACAGCTACAGTTAATTTGGCATTATTTTTCAAATGCTGGTCAGATTCAATATTTTCCTGATCTCTGATTCAAATGAATTAGTCAGTATGTATGATAATCCATGTAATATGATTTTTTCACCTAATAGTAAATACTTGTTTTAGTTTAGTATTTATTTCTGCTTTTTTTTTTACTGTATTTCAATTTCATCTGCTTTTGTAGATTTCATTTGTTAGCTTTTGCAAAAGCAAAAAATTAAAAAAAGAAATGTATTAAGTGCAGATGAATGAATTCTAGAGTGTTAGTTAGAGCCCCTCGAAAGTTTTGTAGCTGATAATTGATAGTTTTCTTCAACTCATAACTACTAAGGGTACTGTCCACTGCTTGACTAACTCTTGTTAGTACTTAGCTTATTGATATAAAGGTTCTGTTAGCAACATTCTCCGGTAATATGTCTGGTTGGTTCAAACATTTGACTTCTAGCTGATTTCCACTACCAGTCATTCTGCCCGTTACTTGATTATTTTTTTTAGCTGTAGGAAAATTGCAATTATATGTTTATTTATTTATTTTTCATTAAAAATTCAACTCTAAAATACACATAATTTAATTTATCCTTTAACCCTTTGCATCTGGACCAGGCTCTTTTGCACACATCACAATTTTTTAGTGTTATGTTCAAAATTTAATTAAATTTATTATCAGTGTATGTCAGTAAACTTGGCATGAATATTATCTAAGTTTTAATTTCAAAAAGAAATGTGTAGAAAAATCAGAATCTTAATTTTACATGATGTTTCTGAACTTTAGAATTTTCTAATATCAGTAATAGGCTTCTACAGTTTTCAACCAATTAGAAGTGCAAGATATACATAATTACAAGCAAAAATTTGAGATATGCACCCCCTACCTTATTTATTCAAACCCACCAGAAATGTCCTTCACCTCTACTTCTGTCTTTAGAGATTATTTACTAATTAGCCTTACATGGCTTATAGACATG